CATGTGTGACTAGTTTTTTACCCAAGGTGACCCATATTCGAAATTAACCTAGAAATCATTTAAAACAAAATTGCAGACCAATTTTTGCTAGGATATTTGCACCTGATAACAAAAACATAGCTAAGCCATACTACAAAGAAGGAAGGGCGGGGCTTTCTTTCGTACACTTCTCTAAGACAGTTCATGTGATCTAGGTTTTCATCAGAAATGACCCATGTTCAGACTTCATTCCACCCAACCCCGCGAGAAAAACCCACACTTTTCTTCCCTCTCTCAACCTGTGTCAACTATATGGCCCGCTTATTAATACTTTTAGACATCAGACTTGTCTAAGAAATATCAAGATAACTTTTGACAGCAGTGTATTTCACAGTATGAAAAACAAGAGCACCGCTAGGCGGAGCATTATATGCCCGAAAGTGTTTTTTTTTTTTTAGTAAAGATGAAGCATTTGTAAGACATGGGACTAAAATAAGGTATTACCTCCTTCAAATAACAATCCTCCTTTGAAGTTTCAATATTGTGGTCCAAATGGAACTTTAAGTTATGTCCCAGAAACTGTTTTCAATTCTGAGGTAAAAGTGACCTTGACCTTTGACCTTGTGACCCCAAAATCATAAGGGGTCTTTACCCAATATGGACAATCATACTATGAAGTTTAAACACAGTAGGCCAAATGATACTAAAGTTATATTCCAAAAACTGTTTTCAGTTTTAAGGTAATAGTGACTTGACCTTGTGACCCCAAAATCAATAGGGGTCTTCTACCCAATATGGACAATCATCCTATGAAGTTTGAATATTGTGGGCTAAATGGAACTAAAGTTATGCTCAAGAAACTGTTTTCAATTTCTAAGTAATAGTGACCTTGACCTTTGACCTTGTGACCCCAAAATCAATAGGGGTCTTCTACCCAATGTGGACAATCATCCTATGAAGTTTGAACACTGTGGGCCAAATAAAACTTAAGTTATGCTCCGGAAACTGTTTTCAGTTCTAAAGTAATAGTGACCTTGACCTTTGACCTTGTGACCCCAAAATCAATAGGGGTCTTCTACCCAATATCGTCAATCATCCTATGAAGTTTGAACACTGTGTGCCAAATGGAACTTAAGTTATGCTCCGGAAACTGTTTTCAGTTTTAAGGTCATAGTGACCTTGACCTTTGACCTGTGACCCCAAAATCTATAGGGGTCTTCTACCCAATATGGACAATCATACTATGAAGTTTGAACACTGTAGGACAAATGAAACTTAAGTTATGCTCCGGAAACTGTTTTCAGTTTTAAGGTCATAGTGACCTTTGACCTTGTGACCCCAAAATCAATAGGGGTCTTCTACCAAATACAGACAATCATCCTATGAAGTTTGAACACTGTGGGCCAAATGGAACTTAAGTTATGCTCCAGAAACTGTTTTCAGTTTTAAGGTCAAAGTGACCTTGACCTTTGACCTTATGACCCCAAAATCAATAGGGGTCTTCTACCCAATATGGACAATCATCCTATGAAGTTTGAATATTGTGTGCCAAATTGAACTTAAGTTATGCTCTGGAAACCAAATTGCTAACGTTTTCAGTTTTAAGGTCATAGTGACCTTGACCTTTGACCTTATGACCCCAAAATCAATAGGGGTCTTCTACCCAATATGGACAATCATCCTATGAAGTTTGAATATTGTGGGCCAAATGGAACTTAAGTTATGCTCCGGAAACCAAATTGCTAACGGACGGACGGACGGACAGACGGACGGACGGACGGACGGACGGACGGACGGACGCCAGGGGGTATAACATAATATGTCCGAAATTCTTTCGGGCATATAAAAATGGACAAGAGGGCCAAGATGGCCCTAGATCGCTAACCTGATCCATCAACTCATCCAAGCAATTACTTAGTTATTATCCTGGCAAAGTTTGATGATGACTGAGTCAAAAATGTGACTACTAGAATGTTAAGAAGGTTTTTCCATATTTTGGTGGTGTGACTTAGTTTTTGACCCCAGGTAAACTATATTGAAATTTGACCTAGAAATCATCAAAACAAACTTTTCAACCAATTTTGAGGGTATTTGGATCAAAACAGTAGCCACTAGAGAGTTATTAATATTGTTCTATTTTTAACCTCCTGTGACCTAGTTTTTCATCCAAATTAACTCATGTTCAAACTCATTCGAGCAATTACCTAGACAAACATACTGACAAGTTCTGATGATGATTGAGGCAAAACTAGGACAATATTTGGGTGGTGCAAACTAGTTTTTGACAATTGGTTGATGACAATTGATTCAACAAGAACTGTCACAGGACAGTAACGCTCGACCATTCTAACAAGAGGGCCAAGATAGCCCTGGATCACTCACCTGACCCATGAAACTCATCTGAACAATTACCTAGACAAGCATTCTGACCAAGTTTCATGACAGGTGAGTCAAAAATATGACCACTAGAACGTTAACAAGGATTATCCATATTTGAGCAGTGTGACCTAGTTTTTTTACCCAGGTGACCCATATTCAATCTTGACATAGAAATCATCAAAACAAACTTTCAGACCAATTTCCAGGATATTTGGATCAAAACAGTAGCCACTAGAGTGTTAACAAGATTTTTCTATTTTTAGACCTTGTGACCTAGTTTTGAATCATAGACAAAATAGAGAGAAATAAGAATCCCTAAAGAAAGCCCAACACGGCAAAATTGAAAATGTTGCAGGCCCGGTTTGATTGAGCCTGTTCATGGAAGGTACTGTCAAGTGCAAACTACCGTCCACGCCCCCTAGCACCGGCTTAAGCAGAATTCAACATTTAGAATGAACTGGTACAATTTTGAATTTAGAAACATCAGCAGATGTGTTCATATGGCGGTTATCATGGAACCTTCAATGTGACACGTAAGTGCCATTCCATGAAAAGCGGCATATGGTCCCCAAGTAAAAGAATGCATGTGTCCTAAACGAGAAAACAATGGGCGGAACTAAATAAAATGGAAATTTGAAAGGAGTTTAGAGGTTATGAAGCCTGCATGTTACAGATAATACGTCAAAAGACAAATTTAAAAAGCAGGCCACATATCCTAAGGGTGATTCAACAGTATTCAAGTAAGAAATACTGGAACCACCAAACAAGAAAGATGCCTAATAGAAAGAACTAAAATAACACAAGCACAACAATTATGTTGTGCTGAATGATCTGAACCCATATTCAAACTTGATCTAGAAATCATCAGAACAATCTTTTTGACAAATATTCCAGAATATTTGGATCAAAACTGCAGCCACTGGAGTGTCAACAAGATTTTTCTATTTTTAGCTCCTGCGACCTAGTTATTGATCAGATATGACCCATATTCACAAATGACCTAGAAAATATCAAAATAACTTTCCTATTCAATTTCAAGGATATTTGGTTCAAAACTGCAGCCACAAGAGTGTTAACAAGATTTTCTATTGTTTGCTTCTGTGACCTACTTTGACCAGAGATGACCCATACTCAAATTTGACCTACAAATTATGCAAACAATTTTCCTGACCAATTTCCAAAATATTTGGATCAAAACTTCAGCTGATAAGAGTGTTAACAAGCTTTTTCTATTTTTAGCTCCTGTGACCTAGTTTTTGACCAAAGATAACCCATATTCAAACTCGACAACCTAGAAATCATCAAAAACAAACTCTCTGATCAATTTCAAGGATATCTGAATCAAAACTGCAGCTGATAGAAGTGTTAACAAGATTTTTCCCATGTTCCAACTCATCTGAGCAATTATCCAGACAAGCATGCTGACTGATTTTGATGATGACTGAGTCAAAAATGTGACCACTAGAGTGTTTACAAGGTTTATCCATATTTGGGTGGTGTGACCTTGTTTCTGATCACAGGTGACCCATATTTAAACTTGACATAGAAATCATCAAAACAAACTTTCAGACCAATTTCCAAAATATTTGAATCAAAACAGTAGCCACTTAGAGAGTGTTAATGAGCATTGTCCATTTTAAGCTCCTGTGACCTAGTTTTCTATCCAAGATGACCCATGTTCGAACTCATACAAGCAAATACATGTATCTAGACAAGCATCTCGACAAAGTTTGATGATGATGATTGAGGCAAAAATGTGACAGCTAGAGTGTTCACGAACAAATGTAAACGTCAGACAGACGACAGATGACGTCCCACAGATGACTGACATTCAACAATCCTAAAAGCTCAGTCTGAGCATGCTCAGGTGAGCTAAAAATCTAAAAACTATGATGAAGTAGGGTTCAAACTATAGACCTCTCATATATGAAGTTATAACTTAACTGACAGTGCTTTTGCAGATGTGACGAGAATATATTCATTATGCTAGTGTGAATTTTCCAAACATTAGTTTGTACTTGATATTAATGCTCGTAAACTTTACGGACAGAACCAAAGTGGGATCAAACATTTAAATAAGTGCCATAATGTGTTCATAATTGACAGGTCAATAAAATCAGGCTATAATTTGCAATTACATGTCAATAACCGACATCCTAATTATATGACAAAATTTTTTTTAACTTGGGCCATTATTAAACATGTGTAATCTTTTCTTGACAGTTTTTTAACTTTTGACCTATAACAAGAGCTGTCACAGGACACTGGGAAGCTCCACTTATGAAATTCTGAATGCAGTAAGGAAGACAAAACTATGAAAGATAATCAATTATGTATAATTATATATTAACTATGAAAGAAAATCAATTATGTATAATTATGTATTAAGTTATAGTAAAAATAAAAACATTAATTTTATTAACATAAATTTCAAGTTCAAGGTGGGGATAATTCTGAAAATAGTCACACTATAGTTATTAACCTTGTCACACAACATGTGTGTAATAATAAGAAATACATATTTGAAGTTTAAAGTAGATACAGTAAAGTTCCGCTTAGCGACCGGTCCGAAAATACGACCAATCCGATAATACGGGCAGTTTTTGAAAGAACCAAATTTTTCCCTACATATTTCAATGGTCGGAAGGTCCGATTCTACGACCGGTTCGCTATTCTGTATTACGACCACTTTCAAAAGAACCGACAGGTTAAATATTGTTGATTAATGTCCCGTAAATGCGACCACGTGTCGAGTGATAAACACCGACCGTTATATTTTACGGCATTAACTGTGAACGGTTTACGACACCCGGAAGAGAATGTGTGAATAACAATTATGACAATTTGCACACTTACAATTTAATTGCTATCGATAATTCGTTTAATGTGGATTAAATTATTGGAAAATCAAAGGGAGCTGTTTGATGTATTGAATCGGCACAGGTGCAAAATGATAGATAACTGGAGTAACAGCAATTTGTTATTGTTTACGTATTTCGGATTGGTATGTAATTAAACAAATTATGTTTTGAGTAAATTCTTTAGAGCTTATTTAATGAAAAGTTTAGCATGATATGTTACATTCATTGTTTCCTTTGCACATTTCATACATTTATTAGACAAAACACTTTACTGAAAATAATTTCTAAGTAAAATAAACCATGGAAAAACGAAAAAGAAAAGAATTGACTTTGCAAGAAAAAGTAAAATTAATAAGTGAAAGTAATGGCAAAAGTCAGCGTCAATTGGCTGAGCAGTTTGGAGTTGGGAAAACACAGGTATAAATTGTAGAATGTTCAGAGATGTTTTTAAAAAAGTAATAAAAATATTGTATAATTCTCATATACAGAGGACAGAGAGTATGAACTTGTATTTACAAATATGAAAAATTTATAAAAGCTGATAATTTTTTACTCATTCTTGAATAATTCTTTGAATATATGTAAAATTATGTAAATGTGAGATACTTGCTGAAAAGAATTAGATAAATTACCGATATTGTTAAAATTATTTATATGGAGCACAAGGATAGGAACATGTAAAGTTTAAAAAATGAATTTAAAAGATATATTAAATTGTTAAAACGATTGCTTTACTTGTATTAAATGTCTCTGTAAATTATATTTTCAGGTTCAAACAATCTTGAAACGAAAGGCCGAGATAATGGAAGGCTTTGATAACAATGCTGGGAATGACAGAAAACGACTGTGTAAACGTTCACCTGTAGAAGACATAAATAATCTAATGTGGGAGTGGTTCCAAAATGTTATGAAACAAGGTGTCCGTATAAGTGGTCCTATGCTACAAGAAAAAGCGCTTATGTACGCCAAGGAGCTTAGAATATCAGAAGCTGACTTCAAAGCCTCTAAGGGGTGGCTCAATCGGTTCCGTGATAGACACAATATTTCATTTCAAACTGTTTGTGGTGAAAGTGGTAGTGTAAGTTCAGAAACTGTACAACAATGGAAAGATAAGGTGCCCGACATGATCAAAGGATACGATAAGTGCGACATCTACAACATGGATGAAACAGGACTCTATTTTAGGGCACTACCTGACAAAACCCTGTGTGTACGTGGTGAGGACATTAAGGGTGGTAAACGTTCAAAGGACAGGTTAACAGTCATGTTGTGCTCAAATATTGAATGGTGATTTGAGAAGCCACTAGTGATCGGCAAAGCTCGAGTGCCACGTTGCTTTAGAAATCTTCAAGTGAGTGATTACCAGTTACATGGAAATGGAATAGAAAAGCATGGATGACACATCCGACATATTCACTGACTGGATTAAATCATTCAACAAACGGATGAGACATCAAGACAGGAACATGATTCTGTTCTTAGATAACGCTACCTCACATCCCTCAGACCTTCATCTCAGTAATGTGAAAATTCAGTTCCTTCCCAAGAACACAACATCCGTCCTCCAACCACTAGACCAAGGAATCTTACAGAATATGAAAGTTCACTATAGGAAACGGCTTCTGAGATCTGTGTTATCTAAAATTGATGCTGACAGCTCTGTTAATGCTGAAGTGATTTCTAAGAGTGTAAATGTGTTGGATGCTGTGCGTTACGTTAGTGCTGCTGTGAAGGACATAACACAGGAAACTGTTTACAAGTGTTTTTTGAAAGCAGGAATCAACCCTGATTCAGCAACAGAGGAGTTCGAGGATGATGATGTGCTCTTGCAGAGCTAGTGAACTCATGAGAAACTGCAAATGGTAGGATTGCTACTGTAGAGAGTATGTCGCTTGAAGAGTATGTTAGTGCTGACTGTGATATTCCAGTTCATGAGGAACTCTCACCAGAATGGGCGAAAGTGAACTGTTGAACTCTGTGTGTAATAAATCTAAGGAATGTACAATTGGCTGACAGTGAAAACCTGAATGATGAGGATGTTGATGATGAAAGTGATGAAATTGAAAGTTGAACTTGTTCTGAAAAACTCATAGGGAAGCAATTCAATCCATTGAAAACATTAGAATGTACTGTTTAAGTAAAGGACTTACAGATGTTGTTGAGTTGTTCAATTCCGCACAGGATAGACTCGAAAAGGATTCAGTTGAAAGCTTTAGGTGCTCTAAACAAACAACAATTGACAGATTTTTTAAGTAAGGTGATGTGTCTATGACTCATATGAAATGTATAGTGATATGTGAAGGACTGATATGAGATAAAAAAAAGAAGAGACTTCTGACTTTCACATGTATAAAATGTATATTTACCATTTTAAATAATGATATGTTGTTTTAATGGTGTTTATGTAAAATTAAAAGAGACTTCTGACTTTCACATGTACTGTATATGATGTATATTTATCATTTTAAATAATGTTATGTTGTTTTAATGGTATTTATGTAAAATTAAAATAGACTTCTGACTTTCACATGTACTGTATATGATGTATATTTATCATTTTAAATAATGTTATGTTGTTTTAATGGTGTTTATGTAAAATTAAAATACATCAAATACCTTTATTTGTTGTTTATTCAATGTGTCATTCATCTGCCAGTAAAACAGTTTAAAACAGTGACAAACATGTCTGCCAATCATTCCTATGTATTAACCACTGATATTGAAGGTATATGTGCCTTACTGGTGTGCTATAATCTAGGGTCTCAATAAAGAGACCGACTCGATAATAAGACCACTTTTTGCTAGACCCACAAGTGGTCTAAATAGCGAAACTTTACTGTACCTTAAAAAGTAAACAAGAGGGCAAAGATGGCTCTAGATCACTCACCTGACCCATCGAACTCATCCGAACAATTACCTAGACAAGCATAATCTGACCATTAGTTTCATGACAGGTGAGTCAAAAATGTGACCACTGAGTGTAAACAAGGATTATCCATATTTGAGCAGTGTGACCTAGTTTTTGACCCCAGGTGACTCATATTCGACCTTAATCTAGAAATCATCAAAACAAACTTTCAGACCAATTTCCAAGATATTTGGATCAAAACAGTAGCCACTAGAGTGTTAACAAGATTTTTCTATTTTTAGCTCCTTTGACCTAGTTTTTCATCCGAGATGACATTTGTTCGAACTCATTTAAGCAATTACCTAGACAAGCATCCTGACTAAATTCCATGATAATTTGGTCAAAAATGTGACCACTAGAGTGTTAACAAGGTTTTTCATATTTGGGCAGTGTGACCTTGTTTTTGACCCCAGGTGACCCATATTCAAACTTGACCTAGAAATCATCAAAACAAGTTTTCAGACTAATTTCCAGGATATTTGGATCAAAACAGTAGCCACTTGAGTGTTAACAAGGTTTTCTATTTTTAGCTCCTGTGATCTAGTTTTTCATCCGAGATGATCCATGTTCAAACTCATTTGCGCAACTACCTAGACAAGCATCTTGTCAAAGTTTGATGACAATTGAGTCAAAAATGTGACCACTAGAGTTTAACAAGGTTTTTCTATTTTTAGCTCCTGTGACCTAGTTTTTCATCCAAGATGACCCATGTTCATCTGAGCAATTACCTAGACAAGCAGCCTGACAAGCAATCAACTTGTGTCGCATGTTACTCAAAAAATATTTGACCTAGAGTCATGAAACCTTACAGGAATGTTGCTCAGCATGTGTAGTTGTGCACCTGGGTATTTTCATGTGGATATTTTTAGAATTTGTAGAGTTATTGCCCTTCAATTATTAAAAATTTCAAATTTTTAACTTGTGTCGCACGTAATTAAAAAATATTTGACGTAGAGTCATGAAACCTTACAGGAATGTTGCTCAGCATGTGTAGTTGTGCACCTGGGTATTTTCATGTGGATATTCTTAGAATTTGTAGAGTTATTGCCCTTGACTTAGTAAAAATTTACAATATTTAACTTGTGTTGCACATAACTAAAAAAGTTTATGACCTGTAGGCCTGAAAGTTTACAAGAATGTTGGTCAGCATGTGTACTTATGCACCTTGGGGTTTTCTTGTGGATTTATTCAGTATTTGTAGTATTTGCCCTTTACTAAATAAAATATTTTTAGTTTTCAACCTGGGCACATGTAGCCAAAAAAATTATTTGACCTGGAGACATAAGATTGACAAATTGATAAGAGTGGGGCACCCGTGTCATATGGACACATTTCTAGTTTATAAATTATTTATTTAGAAGTGTTCAGTTTTCAAGCACTTTAGCATACTTAAAACCCCAAATATCAATAATTGAAAAATAAAATAAGAGTTCTGAAGATCTATGATCTTTACAATGAATCCTTAAGTAACTGACATGACTGAACCTGAGCTGTAAATAAACAAGAACTGTCGGAGGACAGAAACGCTCAATTATTGGAAAAGTTGTCACAAGGGTGTTTCATTGAGTAATTAATAATGCTAACCTATATGCATACATAACATTGTCCGAAAAGGTACAAAACCTTCAGTAGTTATGGAGATACCAGCTTACAAGCAAAAATTTACCAAGAATTTCTAAGTCGAAAAAGGGGCATAATTATATAAAAAAGCAAATCAGAGTTATGGGAGTTATGCCAATCATCTTAGAAAATCACAGAGAACAAGTGTGTGAAGTTTCAATCCATTCCCTTCAGTAGTTATGGAGATACCAGCTTACACGCAAAAACTTAACCAAGCATTTTTAAGTCGAAAAAGGGGCAAAATTATGTAAAAAAGCAAATCAGAGTTTTGGGACTTGTGCCAATCATCTAAGTTTTTTTTTTTTTTTTTTTTTTCCAGGCCCCAACTGGGTAACCCCATTTATTTCAAATTCTTTTACATTTATACATATAATAGTACATATTTATAGATATAATAGTACCTCATTACATCAGAATATTAAAATAATTTCTAAATTTGAGTATAAAGCTATATTTTTGCTGCCCTGTTATTGAAAAAAAAAAAAATATATATATATATATATATATATATATGTAGCAGTATAAGTTACCCATGAATTTTTGTCAATATACTACAGATGTGTATGTATGGGGGGAAATCGGTATAATTTTATAAATTTTAATAAAGATATTACAACACACATAGCTTTATACCCTTCGAGTAAGTACATTATAATAAAACCATATGTACAATGTAAGAACATTAATTGAGAATGGTATTATCAGGTTAAATTTATTTATCTAATTCAGTATGTCAGTGTAGTTTATTCAATTAAAGATCTTACTAATTGCCATCTATTATTTTCATCTTCTGTCAAGTTTGTATCTTTATAAATATTCCATGCTAATTTAAGACTATTTTTAAAACCAATACATGTGGGTAGCACCTTTTTTCTCTTTGACAAATAAATATATCTTTTAAGTTCTAAAAACAAAATGTCATATTTAAAATCTTTTAGATTCTGAACCTAAAATAACTGATTTACAGTTGAAACATTCTTCAAAATTATGTATGTTATCTTTCAGATATTGAAAAAGGCCTTGAATCTTGTGACATTCCCAAAACAAAATGCAAAAGTGTTTCTTCATAACAATTACAAAAAGTACACATTTTATTGTTCACAATTTTCATTTTAAAAACAGAAAG